TCTCAGCACTTTCATGGCTAGGCTCTTCATTGAGAACCAGGGGATGAATATGGCTAAAATGTTGAATTTCCATCTCTCCTTTGTCTCTATGTGAGTTTGAGGGTGAGATTGCTATAAATGTTCTTGTGCAAGCGCAAGCCCATATATATACTTCAAAAATCTACTGCCCATCCAATCAAAATGACAAATTGTATATGGAACGACCATTATCACCCCCTGTTTTTTATCTCTCTCACTCTTTTTAAGTAACTGTCTAATTTTAAGAGCAAGATTTTACTCTCTTAATGGCTTTAATCTTTAATCTTTAATTCACTTTCAACCCTTGATATGACCATTATTTCCCTTGATGCCTCCATTAAAATAAACATTATATTAATATTAAAAATTATTGATTTAGTTGTGCATTTATGGTCATTAGAGACTACCTAATGACTTTTGGCAGGCCATGTCACCCTTTAATCCTTCATGGCATGTGACTTGTTAATTAAATTAAATTAAAATTTTAAATCTAAAAATAAGGATTATTATTCTAAATACAATATGCTCGGTTTGATCTTTCATTTGAGTTTAACTAAAATCTTGTATACTAAATTATGCTTTGTCTTTTTCTTTTGATCTTCTTATTTGGTTGTTCTTTATTCCTTTCTTGGTCTTTTATTTTTTAAAATGGTATCAATTCTCTTTCTCTTTTCTTTAGATGAGCAATCAGCAACGTATTATATATTCTTTCCAAAGAAATCATTCTTTTCACTATATGCATCTAAAAACATGATTCTTTCTGTATTTCTATCTGTCATCAATAAAGAGAAAATACGAAATATAAGAAAAAATTTTCACCAAATTAAAATATGAGAACATTTTTTTTTTCCAAGATAAAGTTAAAATACTTAAACTTTCTTCCCCTCCAAGTTATGGCGTTTCTTTTGGTGTACACATAATAAATTATCCAATGTTAAACGTACAAATAAAGATTATTATTCTAAACACAGTTGTTGTTGATCTTTCACATAAATTTTTCTTTATTCCTTTCTTGCTCCTTTTATTCTCGAAATGGTATCAATTGATCTCTTTCTCTTGTCTTTGCTTGATCCACTTCAGGTCGCTGTCAGATTAATCCAACTTTCGAACAGAATTGGGAAGTAGTTGAAGAAACCAAAGAAGATTCCATTAGGGGTTAATCTAATGGTACCCTCTTGTCTCATAACTTCCATTAGAATTGCTGTCAAAACCGGTTTGCTTTGTGACTCAATAGAAGATGCTGTAATTACTATTTGGAGGTTCAATAACATTACTCTCCATTGTCAATATCAAGTCCAAAGGAGAGTATTCAAACAAAGATTTTATGACTTCTTTTAAAAAAACACACAAAAATGTGAATTTTATCGAACGAAGCTAGATGCTATAGCAAGACTCCTCTTGGCATAAGAAGCTTGCTTTAAGATGAGTTAATCCCTGTAAAATTTACAAAACAAGCTGCTCAAGAAAAACTTTTTGCACCAAAGACAACAGAAAAAGCCCCGGTCCACATAAAGCCAAGGGCCAGCAAAATATGAGCAACATCCTGAAATTTTGACAACAGAACTCTTAGTAGTCAGTACAAATCAAAATATGAGCCAATCCAAACAAGATCTCAAAAACAGGAAGGGGGTGTAGACAGAGTTGCAACCCTCCCTAGCTGTCAGAATTTCCGCAGAGCAAAGAAAGAACGTCCTGCACTCCAACAGCCCGGCGCCCCACAAAGACAAACCTCAACCGCAAAACACAAAGCAAACAGCAGGACGGAAACCCCCTTGACCTTGGCAGAGAAACGAAAAGGAGAAAAAGGAGGTCCTCCATCAGCTCATCTTGACAGCTGTGCTTAAGAATCATCCATCAAAACTCCAAAACGCAACCGCAGCTTTGTCAACCAAAACCCCGTCCCAAACCTATGATAACTCTTCCTTAACCACACCCTCCAAGATCAACAAGCAGAGGATCAGAGACGGCAGAGACATTCCTTGTGAGCCCCCACCAACCCGACACCCCTTCACTCCCCGACTTCAACCAGTCTCAAGAAGCAAAAGAAGATAACAGCAATCACATCCAACATGCCCCATGCATCCGCCCCCTTCCCCCTAATGAAAAAACCTAACCCAATACATGAAGGATCAAGCCACAATAAAAGGCAAACATGGCTGATTCCCAAATAACAAGGAGAAATCTGTGTACAACAAGGAGAGCAAGCAAAATTTGCCTCCCAAGAGAGCAAGCTCCCTAGGCCCAGCAGTGATTTTTCTTTTTTTTTTCTTTTTTCTTTTCTCTTTCCTTTTTTCCTCTTTAATTTTCTTCTGTGTTCTTTTTTTTTCTTTTTCTTTCTTTGACTTGGATTTCAAAACCTATTCAGTGGTCAAAAGAAGCACACAGACTAAAGAGCGGGATCACATCCTGCAACAAGCAGAAACTCAAATCCAAACCTTTCAAAGAACCAAGGCAATCCCTTCCAAGACAGCCCGCAAGAAAAAATGTCATAAGGCAAAAGTAAAACCACTAAAGGAGAAGAACACACAACTCCCAAACAAGTCAGAAGAGAGCAAAAAGCATGAAAATAAGATCCAAAAACAAAACTCTACCCCATGGCACAAACCAACACTCCTTAAGCAAGAGATAAAGAGAACCAGAGCTATCTTGAATCCCATGTTCTTCAAGATTCACAGACAGGCCAAGCATGGCTTGGTTTTTGTCGTTGCTATTGTTTTTATGATTCTTAATTCAATTACCTCTTGATTAGTACATGAATATTTAGTTCAATAATAGGTACATATTTTTTTCACTTGAAGAGTTGAGATTAAATATATAGTTTTTTCAATTTAAAAAAGAAATTAATCAATTATGCTATGAATTAGGCAATGACCTATAGATTCTCCATTGATAAACCAAATTCATTGGTCCAGGAAATTGAAGCTCGATAAACTGAGCCCTCAATACCAAAGTGAATCTTGTGGATAATGTATCCAAAAGTTGGCCCAAACTTAGTAAATCTATCAAATCTTCTTGCGGTCAAAGGGCAATGGATTCTTGGCATCATTGTTTAATTTTCTTTTATTAATTATTTTTTTAAAAAAAGTGAGTTTTATTTTTCTGTCATCGGGAATGCCATGACAAGTCTTATGGAACAATTTTCATGACATAAAGCACGTGGTGTGGGTATTTGACTGTATATTTTCAGGAGTTACACTGCGTGCCAAACAAAATCAGCAGGAAAAGTCAGTAAAGGGTCCCAACAGTGTCAACCCAACGCAAAGGATCGTACAAGGGACTGCAACGAAAAAGCGTATGAGAATCAGTGACCAGTTTTAATTAATTGAAAATAATTAGAGTAAAAAATAAAAGTCTCGGTTGATTTTTTCTCCTAGAATATCTTATTTGATTTCTTCGTAGATGTCAGCATACTTTTATAGTCTTGTGTTATAAATTAGTGACTCCCAAATACACTGAAATTGCTTTAATTGGTTTGCACAGAGAACAGATTGCGAAAGCAGTTTGAAAGGCTAGACCAAATATTAAAATAATATATAGTAGTGTCCTTTATGAATAATATCATTAATGAAAGATGTTGAGCAGCACATCAAGAAACTCTATCAAAATAAAAAGCTGTCAAATGTCAAGCTAGTATTGTATCATAATTAAACATTAATATTTTGGTTCATGAGTAGAATATCCTTTCAAGTTGAGAGGCAGACTGATCAAAGTAGTTAATTAATTAAATAATGGTTGCTGATGAGAAGAGAATTAGTCTGACATCTAATGACAGCCCATGCAAACCCAGCACCCTGAAAAGCTCCAAATTTTAATTTCTTATGCTGCTTTTTACAAGAATATATATAATTTCAAAAGGGATTGGATATAGTTTATGAATTTGTTATATATCTAAAGCAGCAGGCCAAGTATTTATATTTTTTTTTCCTGTGCACATTTGAATCCAAACACTTTTGAAGCTTTCAAAGCAATTAGAATAACCAATTCTTTCTTCACAAATAACAACATTATGTTGCTTAGACTTGGAAGTTTGTCCCATTCTACACAATGAACAAGATCATATAGTATAAGGTAGAATCAAAATTAGCATATGTAGTCTAATCGGGACAAAATATGGATAGAAACAAAAGATTTAATTGAAAATTGAACTTTGCAACTCCATTAATTAATTATGATCTTGGATTTTATCACAAAAAATAATTTTTTCCTATCACGTAAATCTAATCTATTTCATCTCAAAATTTGAACACGTACAACGTTTTTAAGTTAATTTATCACATAAAATAAAAATTTTATACAATTTTTTTAAAAGAATCAGGTTTAATTAGTCCTTAATATTAAATTATTTCACTTGGGTTGGGTGTTGGTTTCTTTGCAATTTATCTCCTCCAAAACAAGCAAGGAGAAATGCTACAAATAGGAACAAGCTGCAAAAGGCAGACAAAAACAAGACAAATTAATGTTAGAAAATTTAGAAGAAGAAGGAGAATATTTAGAGAAGAAGAAAGAGTATGACTTTGAGTGCGAAAATTATCACTTTCCTTAAAATATTTTTTTAACTTCCAGAATATAACAAAGTCCTTAATACATTTATCAGAATTATAAAATTGACAATGCAAAAACGTTGTTTATATAATAAGTACTTGTATCCTTTCATAATATGACTCTTCAAATAAAATGAAATAACTTGTTTTTTTTTTATAATATGACTCTTGAAATAGTTGTTTCCTTTCATAATAAAACTATTTAATAATTATATCTAATAACCTTTCAAAAGTTATATTTTAATAAAGTAATTATTTATAATTCTTTAGTCACAACTTTTCCCAACATTAACAAACTATCTAACAATTAACAAGTACAAACCCAGATCAAGGGAAGCAAAATACAAGATAAATGAATAAGAGAAAATGTCTTCAAGAAACAAGTGTCCATTTCTGGCAAATGAATCTGTTATCTTGTTAGCCTTTAGCTTGACTTCTTCTAGACAAGCCATTAAAGATAAAGTTGCAGGCTTGCAGCTGTCTGGGGATATAAATGTTATTTTATGACGCACCGTAACCCCACCATTTTGACTTTGGTGAGGGGTCGTTGCGTTCGCTTGGTGTGGAGGAGCTACCTTTGGAGGGCTCGGATCTCTCTCCGGTGAGGGAGGTGATTCTCACAGCCTGCGGATCCTTGCACGGCGTGTTGAGGCGAGCTTGGAGAGCCCGGTCTTGGGCAGTGGTGTGCCGGACGGGGGATTCCGGCGACCGAAACTTGGAGAGCTCGGTTTCACCGATCCGGGAGGTATTTCAAGCGACGGTTGGCGCGGAGAGCACCGCAAGGAGGAGGCTAACGCATCAGTTCTGGTCGCGTTGGTTTTGGTGAGTTTGACCGAAAACCAGTTCCCGGAGAAGACGACCGGTGACCGGATTCGGCAACCTCCGGCGACCGACCCGGATTTCGACGGGGATGCTACCCCGGGGGTTTTGACGCGCTGCGGTTCAACGGCGACGTCGGTTTTTCATCCGACCACGGTTTTGGAGATACGGGACAGCGGACTTCCGAGGCGCATTTCGGGCCGTCAGGAAGTCGAAGTGATCGCGGATTGCACGTACGCGATACAGGAGCATCGAGCACGCATCTGGAGCACAGACGGTGGTGGCGGCGCATTCCTGTCAGAGCCGATATTTCAGGATTTGTCGGGCCCACTTTGTGTTCACTATTTCGCATTGTATTTCCCGAACAACATTTATTCAGTGTGACTAGTTTCCGCCACTTAGTTGCATTGTATTTCTCAGAGCGGTTTTCGACGATCGAGTGTGTGGTGCAAGTGAAAAGACACACACCCAACAATAAATACATACCATTCCTTTCTTTTCCAGATCATATATATATATATATAGGCAGACCAACTGAAAGCGTTAACATCAGAATGGAAATGCTAAATTTTTGCCATTGAAACTCGTCACTGCAGTCACCAACAACCTTCTGCATATGGGAGTTAAGGAAGAATCTGCATGCTCCAGGCCAAATCTCTTTCGAAATGGGACAATAAAAAAAATTAGTGGCTCCTCGATTCCCCAGCATTATTGTAAAGACAAGAATTGATATATGTGATTGAGATCCTCCAATCACTTGCTATCGATCGGCCTCATCTCTTGCATCTACTATTAGCAAACGTGTAATAGGGCCAGTGAAGTTACTAATTAACCAAACTTTTATCACTTGAGATAAATTTACTTGACAAAGTTAGACGTTTAATATTTTATATAAAGATAAATTTTGAGATATTTAAATTTTTAATTTAGATTAGTCAATGATATAATTTAATAAAGAATAGTGTTCTTAGTATAATTAAATTTAAATTTCAATAATCTAACATATAAAAAAGAAAGTTTTAATTTAATGATAATAACAAAATTCTTGATTTTAGAACTTTATAGGAGAGGATTAACTTTGTTCTCTTGTAATTGACACGTTTGGAGTTGGTATATATTTTCTAGAAAGAGATACTAAGTGACAATCATAGAAGTAACTTAAAGCGAGTCAATCACCCAATTCGATTTCATTGGAAACCATTCTTCCTGTTTTGGCCATATGAGAACTATTTTTCCTTGCAACTTTGCAGAAAAGACGAGAAGTGCTTGGTCACTATTGACAATTTCAAACACCATTTGCTTCCATACTTCAACATAATTACGATGATTTTACAAAGTCCTACCACCACTTTATAAAATTAACTAAAATTCAAAGTTCCTTGTGACTTTGGAGTTTGACTATGGTTACAACTATGCCAATCCAATTGATCAATTTGTGTATAAAAGCACAACAAGATAAGCGAGGTTAATCTTTGTAAGCAACTTCTCCAATAATTTGAACACTGCAAAAATGCCAGGGTGAGTTTTCTTCTTCTTTTTTTTTCCATGCATTTTGGTCTATTTGAGCAACTGAGACTAATTTAGCTTTGGAACAGTGGGCTTGCCATGGAAGTAAATGCAGGAGATTTCATCAGCAGTTTACCAGATGAGATCCTTTTCCATATAATTTCTTTACTTCCCTTTGAATCTGCCATCCAAACCATTTTCCTGTCTACCCGATGGAGGTTCTTGTGGAACATGGCTCTGGTGCAACATGGAAGCAAAGAAGATGTTCCCACTGCAGTTTCTGGTTTCCTTAGAAATTTTGATGAGCACAATCCAACAAGGAATACTAGAAGGCTTCGGTTCGATTTTGGAGAAGATGGTGTCCTCTCAGCTATTATTGCACCCAACCATAAACTTCACCTGGATTTCTCTGCAGACAACCAGGAACATCCAAGGCAGTTTGGTTGGCAGATAGAGTTGAACCCCCAAAATCTTAGTCTCCAGGCAACTCCCTCCACCTTCTTTGTTAAGACCCTTTGCCTGATATCAGTAAACTACCTTAGCAGTGAAGCTGTTTCTTCTATGGTCTCAAGGTTTCAGCTTCTTGAAAACCTGAAAATCATTGGATGCAGTGGATTGGAATCCTTAAGCATCGATTCTGAGACAAAGCTTTTAAACCTAACCATCTTTGATTGTCCACAGTTGAAATCTCTCCATATTAGATCCTATAAACTTAGAAACTTTTGGTATAGAGGGCAACTCCCTTGGTTTTGGCCTGAGTTTCATTTCAACCTGGTAAACGCCATGCTTGATTCTAGGCAAGGCCCCGGCTACAGTACCTTCAGGACTTGTGATTTTGATCGAGTCTTGTTGACAATAAAGAATTCTGAAATTTTCACGTTGTGCAAATGGTCTTTTGAGGTATATTGCTACATTTTCTAATATCAGTTTCAAACTATGCTGCTTTCTGACAGTCATTATTAATTAAGACAATGAATTACTTTATGCTGCTTACAGATTAAATATAACTAAATTCTAGTTAATCAAATATCCTTTACCCATGCAGGCATTAGTCTGTCCATCGCTGTCATCTTTTCGAGCTGCTTTCCAGTTTTATAGACTAAAAGAGCTGTGGTGGATTGATAATTATTCCAAGGGATTGTACAATAGTGATGCTCTAATCACTTTCTTGGAACTCTGTCCTTCCTTAGAGCGACTCTTCGTGACTGTAAGTTTATTTTTCCCTTGACTTTGAGAGACAGAACTTGAATTTCTTGATTTCTCTCCTCCTGACAGTGATTTTTAATTTTCCTTCATTTCTTGTGACATTGATGACATTGCTAGTGTTTGAAAGGAATCTTAAAACGAAACTCTAAAAATGCAATAAGATTAGGCAAAATTTTGGTCCTTTTTGACGGAGGAATTGAAACATAGTGATTATTGAATGTGCAGATTGATCATAAGAGCTATGCCATGCCAAGTGCAGCCACATGTTCCAAGCAAGTAGGTAAATACACAAAATTGCAGCATCTCAAAGTGGTTAAATTGGAGGGATTTGCCAATCAAGAGGATGTGATTTTGTTCACTGAGCGTTTACAAGATGTGGTTGCGGTGAAACCAGTAATCCTAACAACATTAGATGGGATATGTTTCCAGAATTTGACTAAGGTTACTTCTCATGAACCTGACCAGCCAGAAGAGACTTCACCACTTTCACAAGAAAAGTATTTTTACGAGTTTGTTCAAGTGAAAAACATCAATGAGTTATGTCCCAGTCATCCTCACATGAGCTTGTAGGCCACAGAATAGCAAGTTTCATCTAGCCACGTGAAGCCTCATTCATAAGGCTATAGCACCATACGTGATGCACTTTTTGTTGCATAAATTCTCCACACTGTTAACAGAAATATACATAGTTCAGTAAAGATTATGTGCAATAAGCACCCTTTATCCTTGTTTTGTTGAAATTTTGTAAAGTTAAGACCCTGCTTAAACAGGAAACAAATAAAAAGAGTTTGAGTCTTCCCTGTAATGTGGAAGGGTGTGCTACAAGTTCAGAAGATTCATTGGTTCCCTTCAAGATTCTTTTCTCAATAAGCCTTTTATCAAGCTATTTCCATATTTGTCAGAATGCATCACAAAACCAGCAGACACCCAAAATTTTTTTAATGTAATGAACATGTTCTATATATCCGGCGATAAAAAAGGAGATGAAGTGTTATCTTATACGGCAGACAGAGAATCAAGTCAAAAATATAGCGTATAAACAATTGTTTATAGTTTATCCAAAAGATGTGGTATACTACTCACAAAAACTTTTGTCCATAAACCAAGTCAATGAGTCATTTCTTGCTCTCTAAGCTCATGGATACAAATCTCTTCGCAGTCACTATAATCTCTTGTTGTTTTCTGGGTTTTTTTATTTGGTTGATTCAATTAAGGCACACCTTTGACTATTATATTCTGGTAGAAAACTTAAAATCTATACTGTTGGGGGGGGGCACATGGAGGACTATATTCTAATCTACTTTTCCTGATCAGAGAGTTGAATACTTGATTTTAATTTAACTTTTAAATTGTTCATATTTAGACTGATATTTATATTTTAATTTGATCAATTAAGTCAATTGGCATTTCTTTGTGTCTAAGGCTGATAAAAATAAATCAATTGAATCTCCAAATTTGAAACTTCTGCCCCCAAAAGCAAAATTTTGTAGCTGTTGACCTTGCCCAAAATCTGGGTATGACTGTTATCCAAAAGTTGAACTTTGAAGTTACATACTACTAATTTTAAAACTGTAATAACGTCGTAACTGTAATGTTTGAATACATTATGCATCAATTTATATCCTGTAAGTCTACCATAAGCATTCACATGTAAGATATTCAATATTCATAATTAGGCCAATAAATAAAACTTATATAATGATGAATGTATTCGAAAGTAACTATAAAAAATAAAGGAAGATATATATCAGCCTCATCCTGGTGCCATCTTCCTCTGATCGAATTAGGTATAACTTTGAGTATTCCCTAGTAATGCTCAATCTGTTCTCTGTTCCTGACTTCCTGCTGATTTTGAGCAGCTGTGTCTTTTGCATCAATAAAAACTGTTTTGTTTAAAGTTTATGAACAGCCTGGTGTCGGAAACAATAATATTAATTTGAGTATTCCTAGATGGTAGTTTTCAGAGTATCTGATGCAATATCAGCAAGCCCTAAATGTTTGCCAACAAATTAAACAGGGCTAATCCATGAGCCAGGGATGCAGCTACAAGGCCGGCTGGTGTGCTTGACCCATGACCGTTTAGCTTGTTTACCAACAAAAACTTCAGCCAATGATTAAACTATTCATTCATTTCTTTTAATCATTGTAAAAGTCTCCACTTAAAATAATTTAATAAGGCTATTAGTAGATTGAATGGTTTCATGTTCAAAGCTTGAAATTGGCTGTACTCTCAAAGGATTACTCTAACATGTTCACTTTGAAAATCCGAGAGAAAATTTGAAGTACCACACATGTGGAAGCAGAATAGTGAACAGTATGCTTCATCTCTGTTTCTACCGCAAAAGCCAATCATTAGAATTACATAATTTAGTTCCACAGATTTCTTTGTGGCCAATGGAGTATGGCTTTCAGCATTCCTAGTCATGCTCAATCAGTGTTGTTCTGTTTCTGGTTGCTTGCTGCTGTTGTGCAGTCGTTTCAATTGGATCAATAAAAACTTGTCTTATTTGAGTTCATCAACAATCTGGTGCGGGAATATTGCGATTTTTGAATTGTCCACATAGCTTAAAGTCCTCCACATTGTGGGGAATTGGTGCTTATGATCTACCTTTTAATCCCTTCATGATACTTCCTTGTCAATTTAGATGGTAGTTTTCAGTAGATAGCTGGTACATCAGTATAACTTGTATCAGAATTCTAGTGGAAAGGATTGATCATGGACTATAATTTCTTAACTGAGATTTCCAGATAAACCACATAAATAAACTGATATAAGGAAGTAAAGAGAGCCAAGAAGCTCTTATGCACTCATATAACACAAATTTCAAACAAACTACAACTACAACAAAAGTACAAGAAATCCAAATTCAACCCTAATTTTCAACCTGAGAAACGATCACTTCCCTTCCCAACTTTTATTCCCTCCATGACCTAAAAATGTCAGAGAGAAACTTGACCCTTGACAAAATGGAAATTCTTAGAAATCATTCGTAGAAAGAGGCTCATGGGTGGCATCACCAATGAAAATGTTGTCATAGACAACGGCTGCAATGGCAGCCCCAATCAATGGACCAAGCCAGTAAACCCAGTGGTTAGTCCAGGTCCAGCTAACAACAGCAGGACCGAATGACACTGCTGGGTTCATGGAGGCCCCATCAAAAGCACCACCAGCCAAGATGTTGGCACCCACTATGAAACCAATAGCAATAGGGGCAATAATCCCCAAATTTCCTTTCTTTGGATCCACTGCTGTGGCATATACTGTGTAGACTAGGCCGAAAGTCATCACTATCTCGAAGACAAGTGCGTTCCAGGCGGATACATCAGAGGACAGGGAGAAAGCTGACGTTTCCTGCAGTTGATCAAATCAAAAAACAAAATGAAACATTGAACCAATTATTGGTTACCAATATTGGACATTTTCACGCTGATAGACTTGAAAGCTCCAACAAAAGGAATATGACTGATTAGTCACCCTTATTATTGATAGTCATGATCGAAATGTATCCTGCCACTAATCTTATAGATTTTCTTAAATGAATGTACAAATTCAAGCCTGTTAGTTGAGACTGAGAAGTTTTTCCAGGCCAACATGTTCTTAATTTGTGTTGAGTCAGGTCCAAGTTTTGAGGCTCGACTTGCATTGAATTGTTGAACTTTTCCATGTTCTTTCAAATCTCATAAAGAGGCAAGATGATTAGAGTTTTTCACGGGTTGTGCTTACCAATCCACCGGTGGCAAATTTAAGGAGCAAGCAAGCGACGACTGAGCCTAGCAACTGTGCAATCCAGTACAAAATGCCTCTTAACAAAGTAATGTTGCCACCAATGAATGCACCAAAGGTCACAGCAGGGTTAACATGACCCCCTGAAATGTTTGCACCAACCGAAACCGCCACAAACAGGGCAAATGCATGAGCCAATGATGCAGCTACAAGTCCGGCTGGTGTGCTTGACCCATTATTGGTCAGTTTGTCTACCCAATAGAAACATCAGCCCGTTAATAATCATTGTTTCAAACTACGGTCACAATATTACGACACAATAAATTATCATTTTAAAAATTTTTTATATAATAAAATGATTAGTCTATGGTCAAAGAGTTTTTGAGAAAGAAAAAAAATAAAATACGTTGTGATTCGTGTTATGAAATGAATTATTCAAAATATAACACAACACTTTTCATGAAAATTTTTTAAATACTTGATTACATGAAAATAGATTATTTATTTTTATTAAGACATAGAAAATGTTCAAATTCGAGATCTTACTAAAAGCCATGCCAGACCCTTCTCCGGCAAATACAAAAATAAGCATAGAAAAGAACTCCGCAAAAGCCGCCTTTAGGGCATCTGGCCGGCCCGCCTCTCCCGGTGTCCCGATCGCAATTCTATTGATTGGCATTTTCTGGAAAAAAATTTTCCTCAACCCTGAATTCTCTATACCAATATAAGTATCAAGAGCTATTTCGTGCTGCTTTGCTTTTTATAAGTGTAGCTCTCAATTTTGTGTTAGCTTGAAGTGTTTAGTAAGAGCTTCCTTTTATATATACCTAAAATAACGGCTTAGGAACCGGTAATGAAGGTACCCGGTAAAAAACACACAGTGGAAGGGGTAGGGGCCATATTTTTAAGCCACATGTCGGTGGCTTTACAGCTAATAAATGGCAACCTGGGTTGCCACGTGTGTGGCCGTGATTAATTGTAGCTACGGAGAATTCGGCAAAGAAGAGATCTGGATCGCCGACCAAACGATGCGGTGGGACCAGGATGATGATTGTGTGGTTTGTGGTCCATTGGTAGGCCTGTAGAGGCGAGCGAGATGGGCGGCTGGAAACCGACCATTTGAATATTCAAAATTTAAACGTGTGATTCTTCATGTCCTTTTTATGGGGCCCATGGAATAGGCTGTGCTAGGGTTTTGGTGTGGTTGTAAATGGGCCCATTAAGATCCAACAACTTTTCTATCAATAATACTACTATTTAATTACTTTTAATTCGGTACCAGGTTATATTCCTTTTTCTTTCAAACGTAATCCGTGATAGTCACCGATCTTATATACAAGAAAGATAAGTTTTAAACTTGTAATTAAGAGTTTTTTTAATTAAGATATATCTTTGGAGTTAAAGATGTGAACTCATAATAAATAATATTAAAGTTTATCTAATTCCTTATTAATATGAGATTTTATATAAAAAATACTAAAATCATAATAATTCTAAAATAAAGTGAATCACTTTATTTTATAAATGAAAGGACCAATGCAGCTAGTGATAGATTTAAATTTTGTATAAAGTGTAACTAAAGGGTAATAATAAAAATAATTAATTTATATATGTCATCAGCTACTGTCACCATCTTAACTCCGCTAGTAAATATCACGAAAATATTATATAATAAAATAAAATAAAATATTGTAAGTCTTATATCAATAAAAATCTTCTTTTATCCAATAATGAATTATTAGACATTGACCATCACATAATATTTTGAAATTACTCTTATAATTTTTAGTTTGCCTTAGAACTTTGCTAATAATCCAATCCGTGATGTGAGGAAAAGGTGAGATGATGAATGACTATTGGTGTAAAGACAGCCACAGAGCACACCAACTACTTCTTTTTCCTTCTGTTCCTGTTGAGCTGTGTAAAGATCTTTCGAGTTATCCTTACTTGATAAAAAGCAAAATTATTGGCTACCTAGGTTGACTCCACCATGTGATTAAATGCCTCTGTTAATGAGGCTTCTAATTATTATTTTAATCCAATTTTTCAATGCACAAACTTGATAAAAACACAAATTAGGTGAAGCCTTAAAACAACAATATCCTTAAGCATTTGGTTGAGTATGAGGTGGAAAAATTAGATGTGCCATTAATCATTAATAAAGAAACCAAACGTGACAACCCAAGGTCTAAGTTTCAACCACAACCTTGTCTTAGTATTACATATAATAATCATTAGATTTTTAAAATTTTCATCATATCTAAGTTGGATTTAATCTTAAAATATATTTTTACTTTATATATTCGGCATACAAATAGTTATATCGTACATACTCAAAACTTATTTTATTCTTATTATAATTCTTATTCATTTATATAATTTTATACAAATTTATTACAATGATTTTCATTAATTAAGTAATGATATTGTTATTTACATACACTCCATAGACTTTCTTGCCGACAGCATGGATGGCAAAATAGGAGCAGACTCTTATCATATTGGACCGACCAATTCCCATAAATAGAACTTCGCGTGCAATCAACTTACATCATTTGTAATAATTGAACTTGACCCTTCTTTATATTGTCTTCTTGACTGATCTCACCCAATGATCATTGTCTTTTAGTTAAGAGGTTGAGATTTCTCGTGGGGTAGTGGCCTGTAAGCGAATTCTAAGATAAGTTGTTATTTTCCTTTCATGATTTATTAAAGATTCGACTCTTCTCCATTGCTCAGCATTCCTGATCGATACGAGCCTGCTTTCACCCATGGGTTGGACAAACAATGTGTGGGCTAAATGGGTTCTGAAATAGGATCTGAACCACTAGTTTTAAAGCAATTAGGACAGAAATTCCTGCAAATTGAATTGACCAGAGTTTTCAATTTATAATGTTTGTGCTTTTTGTTTCTGTAGCTCATTTGTTGTTGAAGTGTACGTATGGTTAGAAGTTGGAGACACGTATGAGGTTCAGCCCTGGCCAATAAGCATTGTACTATCTGCTTTTTCTACGGTGTTCCATCAGAGAAAGCAGCCCAATCCCTTTGGAAAATATCCCCACCCAAGCCAAAATAGCAGCAAACGTAGAGCAAAGTATGTAGGCAACAACAGGGAGAGAAAGGGAGGCTGTTTATTACAGAAAGCAAAATTAGTTATAACCCTTGATTTGGTGTCAGGGATCAAAAACAGATATAGAATTACAAATTTCTGTTGCAACTTGTATTAGAGGACCTAATGGGGAGTAGTGGAATTCATAGTAGAACTCTAGATTTCAACTAATTACTAACTTCTGTGACTCCTTTGCTTGCAAAAAAACTGTTAAAAACTATCTTCCTTTTGGATCCATGAGCTGTGAAAACACGTCACTCGTGGTTGTTGTTGCATCAGAAGCTTGATCACTGATACTGTCAAAACGATTAGCACTGATTGATTCAACTTGGGGGATCCACCCAGGAATCTCTGGAATATGATTTGCACTGTTGTCTAATGAAGCATTTTGTATGGAAGCCTCTTGTAGTTGAAGAGCGTACTCCAAATTCCATAACACATCTCCCATCGTAGGCCTCTCGGCTCCATGTTCTGCCAGGCACTTCTCAGCTGTTTCACCAAATTTTCTCAGGGAGTCGAGATTGATAAATCCTGCTAGATGGGCATCTATAATCCCTTCTAACAGGCCTCTCTTTTGCCAGTGCATAGCCCATTCTGCTATGTTAACCTGTTCCCTTGGAAGAGCAGGGTTTATAGCTGGCCTGGCACACAAAATCTCCATGAGAACCACTCCAAAGGAATACACATCAGATTTCTCTGTGAGTTGCTGCCGACGAAAGTACTCAGGATCAAGATAACCGAAGCTTCCCTTCACAGCAGTACTTACGTGAGTTTGGTCCAGGGTGGGACCTAGCTTTGACAACCCAAAATCTGCAACTTTTGCTGTGAAATTTTCATCGAGGAGTATGTTGGTTGTTTTCACATCACGGTGGATGATAGTGTCTGCTGCTCCTGTGTGAAGGTAGTGCAGGCCTTTTGCAGCTCCAATGCAAATTTCAAGCCTTTGTTTCCAGCTAAGTGGGGGAAGATTGGAGCCATACAAGTGTTTCCGCAAAGGACCACCTGCCATGAACTCATAAACAAGGATCATCTCATTTTGTTCTTCACAGTAACCTCTAAGAGAAACCAGGTGCCGGTGCCTCAACTTGGAGAGCATCAAAATTTCTGTCCTGAACTCAGTTAGTCCTTGCCGGGATCCTGGATTTCCACGTTTTACTGCAACCACGACCCCATTCTCTAGCATACCCTTATAAACCTTTCCAAATCCACCTACACCAATGACCAAGCTCTCATCGAAGTTCTCTGTTGCTTCACGAATCTCCGAGAAAGACAGAACGCGGCCTAAACCATGGGATTGTGCCGTTGAAGCAAGACTGCAAATTGAAACTTTGGAATCAGAATTTCCCACATTTGTTGGGAATGGAAACCAGGTTGAGGGGCAACGTTTTGGCTTCTTTGGCTGGCGCAAGTACAGGAAGAAAGTTGCTACAATGACCATTAAAACTGCGAAAACTGCTGCAGAAGAGATTGCTAGGACAATCAATATTTTTCTGGGGATCTTCGAGTTCCCAGAACTTACACAAACATTTCCATCAAGGCTATCACAAGTATTGCTCATTTTCATGATCTCTAAACCATTCAAAATTGCATTGCCTGGGAGATTTCTTAAATCAGGAGGGCCTATTTGTACCAGAATCTGATTTGATCCCATTGAAACATTCGTGACGAAGTCTACATAGTAAGCAGCTGATAATGCCATTGTCTTACTAGAAATATCAAAAGAGGACAGAGCAGATTTCTTGTTGATGTAAACATTGAAAACTAAGCTGTTAAGAGCTATACTAACAATGTCACAAAAATGCATCCTAATAAGATAAGTGAAACCTTCCTCTACTTCAAATGCCCATGATATGTTAAATCTCTGATCAGTAACATTTGCTTCAGCCATTTCTTGAGCAGTGGCATAAACCCAATTCGGTGCAATTTCTGCTGATACTCCATCAGGGTACTTTATCAAATTAGGATTGACCATAACATCGCGGGCGGAAGCAGCATTTACTAAATAAGGTTGATCTGGCTCCCATATCCTCCACATGGAATCATTCTTAGGAGTTAGAAGAGGGCCTCCCATGTTTATCCTGTAAGCTGTCTCCAAAGCTACATGTTTTGGGATCTCAACTTCTGATCCTAATGGAACGGGCACAACGCTGGAAGGGAAATACAAATTGGGTACAACCACAACCTCAATCCCATTGATAAATGCAACTGAGCCATTGCAGGGAGAAAATGTCAGTTCCAATTTTTTTGAATTAGAACCTCCAACCTCAATTACATATTCCTTCACTAGAGGAGAGCTTTGGCCAGATTTCGAAAAAGAAAACTGGTGAAGTAGTGTGATTCCATTAGATACAACTGAAAAAAATGCAGACTTCAAATTATATTTTGTATCTTGAAGTGGGAAAAAATGTAGCCGCAGCCAGTGGTGGCCAATCTGCTTAGTTCTAATAGTATAGGCTGAAGTTTTTTTGAAAACTCTAGCAGAATTATACAGAGCTGAGTTACCAGAAATGCTCATCTCATTCCCCGAAACAACAATGTCTGAAGAAGGGGACAATCCCACGTTAGGAGTACTACTATCAGGATGAAAAAGCCGGGAATCGTCAAGTTCTACCGGCTTACTTCCCCCACAATCAATCAAGAAAACATCTATAGGACTAAAAGAAGCACAGATCATTGACTGAACAAAGAAAGCAAATGGAAAAAAGATTAAGAATAACACAACTGATACTTCCATTTCTTCACTTGCCGTTGACTTTAAAGTCTTGAACAGTTAAAGTACTAGACATTGTAACACATGCCGATCGTTATCCTGATTTTGTCAACTTCTGTCTTGCATGTCTTAATGAGAACATAGTTGGAGAAGAACAAATTGAATGGGATGAAGCATACCTGAAATTTTAGTTACTTTGGGTAATGCGGCTGAGAGAGAGAGATAGGGATGAGTTGGGGGCTTGGGGGATGAGAGTTATGATGGTGATTACTATTTCCAAGACTTGGTCTGTGACTGTGTGAAGACTTCACAGATTGCATTAAATATTTAAAAGAAAGAAAGAACAAGAAGAAAAAAAGTTTGGGAAGTGTGGGGAAACTGACTTAGCTGAAACTTTATGAGATTTTGCTTCCTTCTTTTAATATTTTGCGGCATTTAAGGTAAGGAACATGAGGGCCTGGTATTAAAAAATTTGCAGGCCATAGGGGGACCCTGACTAAAACACTACTGTCCTTTCTCTAAAGCAAAAACCAGATGATTCCCTGTTGACCAACTACCCCATAACCTGACCCTTTTTTACGAGAAATAAGATCTTTGGACCATGGAAAATTCTAATTACCATCATCAGATTTGAGCTCAAAAACATATAGCTAAGCCAAACCTTCGATTTTGTGAAGCATAAGCAAAGTTGTCTGCACATGTTCGCATGCCTCATGATCCAAACCCCTCTTCCCTCAACATGCCTTCGATTCTAAAATTTCGACTTTCTTTTCTTAATGCGTACATTGATGCACTCGCTCTTGTTGAAGTTATCATTGGAGATTGGACCGCGAAAAGTGCTGTTATTAAGCAAGATAAAAAAAAGAAAACCTGTAAGAAGATATCTAGCTAGCACCTAGATCTTCGCCTTGCAATGGTAATTATGAGCCTAGGAGAATGAACAACATTTTTAATTTATATAATCAATTAAACAGCATGCGCATGAACTCTGCTGGATCATAGTTCATCCCTTTTGTTAATCCTTGATAAGAATTAAGATGAACACAGTTGCATTTGCATGAAGTTGTAGCTGACAAAATTGACAGCTGAGGTTTGAGAATGAAATGTATAAACTCCCATCAAGCTAACAAGTGAAGTGCAGGCGGTGTGGATCTCAAATTGACACAGAAAACTAGAAAAACAAGTACAATTCAAGCTTTAAATTATTGTGATGCAATGGGAAAAGTTTACTAAGAAAGAGCAGGTTAGAGGATGCTGAGAATAAAGCAAAAGCAATAAATAAAGTAAATAAGAAGCTTGATATACACAAGGAATGGAAACAGGTCAAAAACAAGAATGTTTAATGATGATAGAACAGTCATGGTTGGCCCTTCACCATGGAAAAAGCTGGCTCAACCTCTTAACCATAACCCCTCATCTATAATAGTAGCATTTTCAAGCCCAAAAAAAATAGGGCCAAATGGTTAGTCATACTGGATGTCCCATGGGCCATGGTTCATCACTTCTTAGTTTATTACTTTATTGAATGATCGACCCAAGCAGGCGGCACTCACGTGCTGCAGAGAAAAGGGGTGATAGAGCCGAAAGGACAGGAAAACAAAGGCCCCACTATCCATCCAATAGGAGCCAATATATCCAACTTTGCGAGCGGCCGCTGCTGCTTCACATAATCATCAAAACTCAAACATGGCAATGTCTTCAGTTTCATTGAACTGGGTTCCAGCTACCTTAACCAAGAAGGTTACTACTCTCTCACTATCTGCTGTTAAGCTTTGCTTTCTGCTCGTTGCTTGCTTTCCCATGTTTATTTCTCTCAAAGCCATCATGTTTGGACTTTCCAGTCAAATGTGCCACACTCCAATGAGTTAGCTCGAGCTACTGCACTATCTTTGCATAACTCTGTCGCATGCCCCAAAGAGACCACTTCCAATGAAGAAAGTAAGATACCCCATGGGATATTTTTCAAGACAAACACTTAACGTATACCCTTGTTCTTCTTCTTTTTCCAGATGTCTTGGTGTCCTGTTCTTACTTCTAATTGAATTTTAGACAATTGTAAGAGAAGACTGCTGCTGTTGGGAGTTGGAGCTGTAACAGCAAGTTTACTCCCTGCAACTTCCCTTCTTGCTGAAGGTATTATGAACATTTAGTTGTATCAATAAAGCATTTTATGACCTTAAATTTATCAAATTATATCAATGCCTTGTTTTGGTCATTTTGGCAGAGATACCACCAAACTATCAAGCTTTTGTTGACATTTCAGATGGGTATTCTTATTACTACCCATCAGATTGGAGGGTAAGTTAAATGAGAATGATAACAAGTTGGAAGCCTTGGTTTTGGCTGCAGATCCCCTATATGATTTCTGTTTTGTTGCTTCTTGTTAGGAATTTGACTTCAGGGGGCATGATTCTGCTTTCAAGGACACATTTCTTCAACTGCAAAATGTTAGGGTGAGATTCATACCAACTGATAAGAAAGATATCCATGATTTGGGGCCAATAGAAGAGGTAAACAATGGCAGTTTTCTTGCTTCCCTTAATGTTTTGAATGAAAAATAGATTTACGTGGTTTCTTCGCTTACAGGTAGTCTATAATTTGGTGAACCATATTTATGCCGCACCAAATCAAATGGTCAATATACTTGATATGCAAGAGGTTTGTCCAGAATACATGCAATTCTCTTTCAGTTCTATTGATCAGATAACAGTCTAGTCTTGGCTTTAATTGTTAGTCTGACAAATTCCTTTCGGGGCAAACCTTCTAAATGCAGAGAACTACAGATGGGAAAAACTATTACACCTTTGAATACACACTCGCCTCTCCAAACTATGCCAGTACTTCCTTTGCAACAATAGCCATTGGAAATGGTGAAGCATTTACCGTTTTCATATTAGTTTACTCATAACCAGTCCTTGAACAATAGCTTAGCCATAGACAAGGCATAAGCAGTTGACAACAAGGTTTTCTTTCATTTTATATCTTTACTTGGATGTTGAAGATGTGAAGTACAACCAGGAGAGAGATATCACACACTTGAAAGAAGGTGGAGAAGGGTTCTTTAAGCTATTGACTTGCATCTCTTTGCAGGGAGATATTACACACTGGTTGTTGGAGCACTTGAAAGAAGGTGGAGAAGGGTCCGTAACAAGCTGAAAGTGGTGGCCGACTCTTTCAAGGTGCTTGACATCTGAAACTGCAAGTTTCTCAGAGCTTGGCGAATCCTCAAAATGAGGAGATTACCTTCTGCTTCCCTGTACATACCTGGAGACAATGAGAATCTCTCATAATCTACTTCCCCTATTGCTACCATCCATTTCTTGATTTTGTGAAAGAGGCTTCCAGGAGTGCTAAACAATCACAATTTCTTGTATGTTTCAAACCATCAATCAATCTACCAGGAGTAACTGCTCTTTATCTGAGCATCAAAAGCTTTGCAGAGCATAAAATATGGAAAGAGGCTTACCTCAAAATAACTCAAGAAGCAAAAATAATGGCAAAGTAAAAAAATTTTAAATTAACCGCAACTTTATTTACAGAGACTACAACAGTTTTTCCTCTTCTAAACTTTCTTTCAGTATTCAAAAGTTGAAAATTTTACAGCCAAACACATACATCATCCAAGCTCTGGTGACAGGAGTTGCAGAAATTCATAGAAATCGGAGGCAAAATCTGAAACAGGAAAATCCCAGAAACACACCTCAACAGGACTAAAATTATCAACCCTTCTCTGATTAATAAACAAAATCAATATACCATGGAGACAAAGCACAACCTCAATCTAATGCTGCTTGCCCCCATAAAGAATATGGATCTATTCCTCCAGCCACCCAAACTCCAAAAACCCCTAATTCTAAGCACTACTTTTAAACAATGTAACTACAGCCGTTGCTTTGCCTACAACTCACCAGAGTAGACATTGTACAACCGTCGATTGTTCTCACATGCTCTTTGGTTCACCCACCCATAGAGAACATCATTACAAGTTGCATCATCCCCATTTATCCTTTTCTGATTCTGGATTTTTCAACCAAGAGATTCAGCAAAGCCTGCAGGTTGGTGGTAGTTCCAGCAATTCGAATGAGTGAAATGAGTACTATACAGAAGAACCAATGTAAGTCACAATCAATCGCATACCCAACCTAAACCAGCCGATGCTGGCGCAAACCCTTCCCGAAATGAGGTTGCATTAAACGAACATACAAGCCATTTTTCGCTACCAAAGAATCATGTGTCCCTTCCTCAACTATTCGACCACCATTAAGTACTACAATGTTGTCAACATGCCTCATCATTGCAGCTCTATGGGCTATCAAAATGGTTGTTTTGTTCCCCATTATCAGAGTATCAAGTGCCTCCTGCACCACTCGACTCGACTCAGATTCAATGGATGAGCTAGCTTCATCCAATAACAAGATGGGAGCATTCTTCAGCACCACTCGAGCAATAGCAATTCTTTGTTTCTGTCCCGGGGTCAAATCCACACCCCTCATACCTACATGCGTGTCATAACCATGGGGCAAGCTGCTAATAAAATGGTGAGCATTAGCTATTCTTGCAGCCTCTTTCATCTCAGCTTCACTAGCATTGTGCCTTGCATATATAATGTTTTCCCTGATAGTTGTTGAGAAAATAATGGGTTCCTGTTGAACAAGACCTAAGTGGTTCCTCAACCACCGCAAATTGTAGAGTTTCAAATCCCTCCCATCGAGTAGAACCTGACCTGCAACTGGATCATAGAATCTCTCAATCAGAGATATTATGGTACTCTTCCCAGATCCTGAAACTCCAACAACTGCTACAGTTTGTCCCCCGTTGACTTTAAGACTGAAATTGCTCAACACCAACATTTCTGGGCGAGTAGGATAGCAGAAATCAACATTTTTCAACTCAATGCTTCCATAGACATTAGGTGGCTTCAATGCTGAGTTATCATCTGGCTCAATTTTAGGAACTCGGTCAATAATTTCAAACACCGAAGTGAGTGATTTCCGCCTTTTAAGTATGTATGGAGCCAATCCAAATGGCTCCACCAGTGCAAAAGTTGCAAAAGAGAAAACCATGTACTCCTTGAGAGCTGTAGGCAGATCCATATAGCCCTTTTCAACAGAGAGTGCAGTGTACCAAAGTAGAAGAGCATTGCAGGCAAAAAGAAGAAACTGTGAAAAGCCAAATGCAAACCCTATTGCCATTCCATGAAAGAAACTCTGTTTCAATATTTTCTTCAGCTGCAGACAGTAGAGCTCCATGACCTTATTACCAGCACAAAATGCTACTACAGTGTAAATGTTTCTCACCGCATCCTCAAGGACCAATGATGCCTTCCTATGCATCTCCTGGATTCCCCTAGAAAATCCAGCAAGCCATAGTTTCTGCAACATTTAAGTTGGCAACTATTTAGAAATTTGGACGAGGACAATCTTCCAACCAAATTCAATAAGAAAGCAAAAATATAGAAAAGAAAAAGAAGCATAGACAATACATGGAATTGAGAATAATTATCTAGAAAGCAGAACTTTCCAGAAACTCCATGCTTTCAATGTTGAAAAGAACACCAAATACATAGACCAATTTAACATCCAAAAACAAGTAGGGATATGCAAACCTGCGCAACAGCAGAGACAGTTAGAACTGGCAGGGTTGCGAATGCCACAAGTGCCAACCGCCAGTGTAGCAACATCCCAATTAGTATTGCAACAATAACAGCAGCACTATCCTGTATAAATATTGAAAGGCGGTTGCTAAAAGCGGCCCGTACAAATGTAGCATCATTTGCCAATCGCATGGACAAGGTGTCAGCAGTATTCTCTTCTTCATCAAACCATCCAACTTCATTGCGCAGCATTGCTGTCACAAGATAGTCAAAACAGAGTTAAGCATATGCATGGAATTCAGCATTCATGTAAATATGCAATATTAATTTGAAGATTCAGATACCTGAGAACATCATTCTGCGAACCCGTTCAGTCATCTTTTCCCCCATGATGCCAAAGTAAAAGTGTTGCAAAAAGTTGGCAACAACAGTCACTATACCCATACAGGCAATTATCAAACACCACTTGTCTACTTCATCTCGTAAGTGATGACGTTCCCCAGGCCTATAATAAGCCGTTACAATTAAAGCAATAACATAAGCAAGAAGTGGATTGAAAGAGCCAAAGATTGCGGCACCAATGCTTCCCAACACAGCATAGAGCCACTCTGCAAAACTAAGCTGTGCCAACCTCCAAAAAGATGGAGCTTCCCTATGATGTGCATCCTTTGCTTCCTTAACTTTCACTGGGATGTCATCAGAGTGACTGTGAGGCCGACTAAAAGTCTGAGAATGGGAACGTTCATTTTTAGGATCAGACGTCAGAAGGGGTGATACGGGGGATTCTGGGTCTGAACCATTTGATTTCTGCCGTTGGGTAGATAGAACATCAAGTTTGGGCAACTCTGGTAGTCTCATTTCAAAACTATCCTGCCTCCTAATTGATGGTTCCTTATCACCAGCATCCGCAGACAAACCATTTTCCAGCATTTTCTCTGGCGGCGGACTATGAGCTTTAGGTGATTCTTGTGAGTTAAAAGCACCATCTTGGGGCCGAAATACACCAGGAACTCTTTGGAGAGATGGTGATTTGATCAACTTTGGCGATGATGATTCTTGGAAGCTGTGAACTGATGGAGAATCCTTTTCAATTTGGAAAGTCGAAGTCTCCTTGTAGTTCCTAACTGGCATCCTGAAAGAAAATAAACAACCATAAACCAGAATTCAGAATTTAGAAATAAAGGAGGTTTTTTTTTTTTCCAATCTAATGAAGAAATACCACTGGCAAGAAATAGACTTTCAAATATGGTATTCCAGTCTTCTTAGTAAAAGCATCTATAGCTCTAATTACCTCCTTGGAAGTTTTGCAGCCTCTTCACATTTAAGAAGCTCTGCATACAAGCCGTCAAGGGCTAGTAACTCATCATGTGTACCCATTTCAACCAGCTGACCCTCCTCCATCACAGCTATATAATCAGCATTTCTTATGAGACTAAGCCGTCGAGCTATTATAATAGTTGAGCGTCCCAACATGAGGAGATCTAGAGCTTCCTGAACAGCTCTTTCAGCTTCAAAATCAAGTCCACCAGTAACCTCATCAAGTAGAAGGATTGTTGGGTTCAAAAGTACTGCTCTAGCAATAGAAAGTTTGATTTTCTGTTCTTCTGTCAATGCTAAGCCAGCCCTCCCCACCTGAAATTCACAGTAATTGATTTCAACAAAAAATGGCCACAAGAGAGAAATAATCAAGATGATAAAGGCAAAACTAATATCTCATGTTTCCATGTTTCACCTGTGTCTGATATCCTCTCTCAAGTGAGCTAATAAATGTATGTGCATGTGCTATTTTTGCTGCTTCTTCAATTTGATCAAATGTAGCATCTCGCCCATAAGCAATATTATCTTTTATGCTCAAACTTAGTAAGGCAGGTTCCTGAGTAACAAGTCCTATTTGGCTTCTCAGCCACTCCAGCTTTAGGTTTTTAATATTCTCTCCATCAAGAAGAACTTCCCCTGCATCACAAAAAATAAAATCATTTAAATAATGAAAGGTTGACTGATAGCCAATGATTTCAGAACTGTAAATAGCATGTCAGTGAACTGTGATACATAAAATTGTATGACCATAGCACCTAATGTAGGATCATAAAACCGCTCCATAAGTGGGATAATACTGCTTTTCCCAGAGCCATTTCGGCCAACAAGTGCCACAGCCTTTTTAGCAGGTACAGTGAGGTAAAATCCACTCAATATAGGGATTTCGGGTCGAGACAGATAACTAAAATATACATTCCGAAATTCGATATTTCCTTGAACGGATGGTAAATTGTTTCCCTCCTGATTAGAACCAGAGGATGACCGGCTAATCATCTCAAAAAGTCTATACGCAGCAATTCGTCCTTGGTCAAAGGAATAAAAATTGGTTGCTGCTTGGTTCAGCCCACTGCAAAACAAAGAAAAGATCGATAAGACAGTAGAGATTAAAAAGAGCAGAAAGAAAGGGACAAAGTGATGCTTACAGGCCACTTAAAATAACAGCAAATAAAGCTGCTATGATTTCACCACCATCAGCTTTGTCATTTGTGACCAGGAACCTTCCAACCCAAAGTTGTAAGGCACAAGAACATATTGCAAGCCCATAAGTAAATCCCAGCCCAAGCCCTTGCACAAGGCTAATCAATATACCATATCTCAAAGTTGCTTGTAATGAGGTTGCATAAGAATATTTGGCCAAAGTTTCATTTGTAAATGCATATAAGGTCCTAATGTAAGAGACTGCCTGCAAAAAAAGAGAGCTATATGTATATTAGCATCACTT